TCTTGAAGGTCCATGGAGTAGTCCATGTGGTCGATGGCGGGTCCAAGTTCTTGCTGAAGTAGTTCAGGGTACCACCTCAAATTCTGTAATGGAGAGAACTTGGTGCACGGCGGTGAAGTGATCAAGAGTCGAGGCTTTCTCTGCTGTAGATCTTGTCGGACTTGTGCTTTCTGTTGTCGATCTGACAAGTCCACGCCAGTGGTGAGATCCACTGACAATTCCGCTCGAAGACCTCGAGCTGCTGCACGTCGAACCACACGTGGTGGGCTGTAGACCTCCACAACGGTGTCTCGAGTTTCCCAGATGCTGCCAAAGACCTCGGCAACATCATCTTGTGCATCTTCCTCTTCCCAAAGTGCCCAGTAGGTGGTCAGGTCACCGAGCAGCATGTCCAAGCTGCCATTGATGCTCATCTTGTCGGATCTGGAAAGGGTGACCTCGTTCTCATACTCTGATTCCACCAGGTAATCGATGAACTCAGGATCGAACTCATAGAAGAACACATAGTCCATGGGGGCACCAAGCACATAGTCATGACCGGGTGTCGTGGTCACGTCAACAGCGCACCAAAGCCCATCATCGCCATCATGGGTCAAGATGACCCTCCGGCTAACAAAGGTGTTGGTGACGACTGGAGACTTCCCTTTGACAACATCACCATATCCAATGGCTACGAAGGTCGTGCTTGGGTTGAGGTTCAAAGTGTCTAGGAGGCCGCCGTAGGTCTCGTCAATCTTGATCTTGTCCGGTGGTGATTGGAGCCACCAGCAACTCACTTGTTGATGTTCTCGATCTCGAACTGGCCCATCCGGAGGTAGTAGTCGGGGAGCTGGTAGAGGTAGATGGCCAGACTGCAATTGGTGTTCAGGCAGATCAGCTCCGTGTGCTGAGCATCGCCATCCATCGCTGGTGCAGTCATCATCTCGCCTGAGTTGCACTGTGGGCAAAGAAATGTTCCCACTGCCGGTTTGGTGTGTCCTCGAAGATGATTCCAAGCCCGTCGGCAGGTGGGGTTCATGCATCTCCACAGTAGTTGCCCAGTCGTCTGGCGTCGATGAAGTAGGAGGCTCCCATTGTTGCAGAATCCGCAATGCTGAGCCAGGACATCGTTCTCCATCGAAGACATCGCAATGTCCTGAGGTCCAATGGGGTTGATCTCCTCCCACTCGTCGTCCATCTCCAGATCCTCCTCCAGTTCCTCCGGATCGGAAGAAAACTCCGGAATGGGGCTCTTCTTCTGTGGCATTGTCTTGGCAGCCGTTGCCTTTGCGCTTGACTTGGCTGCGGGCTTCCGGTAGCCCTGAGTTGAAGATCGAGTGGACTCTGCCTTGACGGACTCGGCCTTCTCCTCCTTGACCTTCTTCTTCTGGTAGAAGTCGTGGCTGGCATACACGAGGGTGTTGTTCCAGGTCTCCATCTGGTTGACCGGTGTCAAGGGCATCTGCTGCTCTTGGCCGCAGTTGAGACACTTCTGGTAGCTCATGTTCTTGTTGGCGCCATGCTGAGTCTTCAAATGCCGGCAGTGAGTGCTGTCTTCCAAGCATGGCACCAAATATTTGCCTTTCCCCATGATGCACGATAGGGGTCGGACACGATCCTCCCGCCTGGACAAGGTCAGGGTTGTTCCAGGCTGGACAGTGCTGGCAGATGCAGCTTCTGCCAACATCTTCTGTTCGGCCTGAGCCAAGGCCAAAGCCTTCTTCTCCAAGTCCTCGCGCTGTCGTTGAAGGCGACGGACTCCACGTAGTTGGGGCGTTCGAACCACCTCCATCAGGCATTGGCGCGCCAGCAAGTCCACATACTCCAGCAAGCGCAGCAGCAAGCGCCGCCAGTGAGCCAGCCATGCCGCCATGCGAGGTGGTCGAGGTTGAGGGTCGTGCCTGGTCTGGTAAGGGCTCCAGAGACCAGGCTTGACTCTTCGTGCCAGCGAAGTCGGATGGAACTTGAAAGCCGTGACCAAACTCAGTAATGCAAACAGCAACATGACCAGTTGACATGCGGTACATGCGTTGCTGAACTGCCAATGACATGTAGATGATGGTCAGGTGGTGCATATCAATCACAGCTTTGAGATCTGTCAGGAAGTATGCTGGCAGGAGGAATGGTATTTCACCTGGGACCACTTGTACACGTAGTACTCCACTCTTTCCGGACAAGCCGATGGGGATGTAGGCTATCCGTGTTGATTCCTCCTGTCCGCATACTCCTCGAACTGAACCACCATGCTCATTGGACCATTGTACCTGGAGACCAAAATGTTCCCGCAAATGACGATCGTGTCTTTGGAGGGTGTCATGACCAACCAACCCGTGCTGAGCCGCGGTGTCGACGAGTGCCATGCCCCGATCCGGCGCCGAACCAAGAAAAACGAACGACAGGCCGCTGAACATGTATTCGCACGAGATCGGGTCCAGGTTGGTCGTCAGAAATTTATGTCCACAGTTGGCCATCACCGCTGGTGGTGACGTGAAAAACCCAGTGGACATGGTTGAGCCTCCACTCACATGTGAACTGCGGGATGAAGGGGCCGTCGATGCTTGCTTGTTCCTTTGCGGACACTCTCGAGACCAGTGTCCGATCTGCTTGCATTGATGGCAGCGAGATTTGGCCTTGATGTCATTGAGGGACATCTTCGAAGTGCCTTGGCGCATCTGCCAAGGTCGGTCAAAGCCTCTGCCCGTCCGGGCAGCCTGTAGCATTCGACGGTGCTCCAAATAACCACCGCCTCGTCCAAAACCAGGAGCTCCAAGGCCATAGGTTCTTGAACTGCCACCTTTGCCTTTTCCTTTCCCCTTCTTTCCTTTTCCTTTGCCCTTGCTATGCAGTCGCTGGTGGGTCTCGTAGAAGATCTCTTCCAGGTTGTCACTGACCATCTCAATGGCTTCCGTCTCATCCATGATCACTGGCATCTCATGGAGGAAGATGAACTGAGCCTCACTGCCATCATCATTAAGCGCGATGAGGTCCTCGAAAGGGTCGTCATCCTCAATCTCGCCATAGGTGGCAGTTGGCTCATCATCAAACATCTCTTCATTCATTTCTTCATCCCAGTAGGTAGCACTGCGCCACCTCCGGGGGGGTACCAACAGCTTCATGGTGTCCATGGCTTTCGTCCAGTTTGTCACCAAAGACCTTCTGGATGGCCATTTCGATGTCCTTGTAATCTATGCTGCCGTTGGTGACCACTTTCAACCTCTGGCGTTGATCCTGGGTGAATGAGCCTTGCCTCAAAATGAGGTGACCCAACAAATGCCGCCCCGGACTGGTAGCCAACAAGTCCAGTCCTTGCTTCTTCAGGTCGGCGAAGGCCGCCTTCTTGGTGGTCAAGAAGCTTGTGAGCGTTTGGCCTCGCTCACGTCTTCCTTTGAAGATCGCGTCATCGAAGGCTGTCTCGAGGCGCAAGTCCTTCAAATACTCATGGGCGTCCTCAATGATGCCAAGTATGACCTTATGGCCATTGTCCGAGCAGATGTCATCGACAGTCAAATGGGCCAGAAGGGAGCTGAGCTTCGAGCCAAGCGGAATGCTGTCGATGATCCGCTTTCCAATCTAGTTGTGTGGCAGTCGAGCCTCTGCCTCAACCAGCCAGAGTTGAAGGTTCCGGATGTACTCTTTATAGTTCTTCTCTGGCATGTCACCGCCCCAGGATGGAGCGGGGTCCACTTTGTAGTCCACATACTTTTTCTCGCGAGCACCTGATTGGCTTCCGGCCGGTGTCGGAGGCCGGATGGCCGTGGCAGCTGCAGCCCAAGGATCAGGTTCTTCATAAAGTCCCGAATCGACGGGGTCAGGTACCTGAGAAAGTCGATGGACTTCAGGTCGTGGCGGACTCGCCATAGGGGACCTCGGTGGTCGCGGCGGACTTGCCATCGGGGATTTCGGCGGGGCCGCCATCGATGGGGTCGATGATGAAGTTGCTCCAACTCCGCCTCTCCAGAAGCGGTGCAGCCTGTCAGCTGACATACTTCCCAGTGAACTGGTACTTCACAAAGGTCAGGCTGATGGCAAAGATATCGCCTGGGCCTTCAATCAAATAGTTCGAACGAAGTCCCGGCGCCGGCTAGCAAAGTCGTAGGGCTAGCGTAGTGAAGGTGGTCGTAGACCAAAAGCAAAACAAAAGCTCAAATCAAGCTCAAAGGAAAACCAGGCCAGGATGGCCGTCAAGCTCCGCCACTTCAGTGGCTTCTAACAATCCCCTGCTGGAGGGTGCCGAAGAACTCCTCAAGAATGAGGTCGATGAAGTCGAAAGAGGTCGGTCGGGGCGTCCCCCGCCGCAAGCTCTTCCACCTCTCCAGCAGAGCCCAGGTCGTCACCCGGGCTCCGCTACCACTGATGAACAGCGGAAACGCAGTGCCTATGGCGCACGGCAAGGAAAGCCTTTTCCAAGGCAGACTCAAGTGGCCACTAAGTTTGGGCCGGTACGGTCATGGAAAGTCAACAGGTGTGGATGGCCAGGGCACAAGGCAGTTTGTTTCACAGAAAGAAAGAAAGAAAGAAAGAAAGGCATAAAGAAAGACAGACAGAGAGAGATTTACTAAACTTCAAATCTTGACCAAGAGTTCTCTAAAGGCTTAGGTGCTCTTTCTGGTCTCGACCTTTCATTTTTCATTTCTGGAGACTCCCCACTGGAGACGGCCCTGGTTTGCTGGAGACCTTCGGTGCACCAGTTCTTGCTCTGGGTTTGTCGGATACCCCTGGCACACCAAGATCTGGCACCACGCACATCGGTCGTTGTCGCCATCCTTGAGTCAATTGTTTCGCAAATGTTTCACACAATGACCCTGATGCAGTCGGCATACCCACACTGCTGAAACAGTCATGGTACAAGTCAATTGCCTCGCAACCAAAAGAAAGAGACTCCTAACGGTCCTAACGATTCTATGACTTCACTTTCCCAATCCTAACCCCTAAGACTTTCGAATCCTCATGGCTCATAACTGCCCAAACCCTCCGCCTGAAAAGCAGCCGAACCCTCCCCCCAGCCCCTCTTCAGATCTCACCTGCCCAAAGTCCAGGTTACTCAGCGCTCCGCTAGTCCCGCAGTAGGACGAGTAAGCCTCGCGCCCGCACGCGCGTCACGCGGAGACGGTCACGCGCGTGCGACACGCGCCACGCGGCGACCACGCTGGGCACAAGGATACGGTAGACGCTTTCTGGAAGTTGCGCCTCATGTTGGGAGTGTCAAGCCAATCCGGCGCTGATGTGCTTCATGGATTAGCAGTCAGCGCGAACTACTTCAGCTGCAAACCGCCCCAAGATCGGGAACAGGCCGGGCCGGTCCGGCCGGGCCGGTCTCGCGGACCAATCCACCCGGCCCACACGCGAGGAGGAGACGACTACGCTGTAAGATCCCAGATCTCCAGAAGCTCTTAACAGAGCTTATGGCAACCGTGCTCGCAGGAAGGTCCCAAAGTCTCATCTTCTGAAACTTCCATCTCCTTTTGGGTGACGCTCCATTCATCGGAACGTGAAACGATACGAAAGGAATGACCAAAAATCCATGTTTATGATGGTAAATGCCAGCTGAAATCCAATCAGGGATGATAACCTACAGAATTACGTACCGCAGCCTCCCAACATCTCCTGCATCGCGCGCGGGTCTGCGCGCAGGGTAACCCACGCCTTATGCAGGTCTTGAGTCCTTTCCTCCGCCTCCACGTGCAGGTTCCACATGTCCGAGGGCAACTCTCCAGGTGCCAGAAGCTGCTTCTCATCACCTCAAGAAGGGGGAAAAAACTGATCAGAAGATGAGACGCCAGCAGTCTCTTTCACATACTGACGCATATGACTGTAGGTAGATGAGCTGTAGCATACGATTACAAGCATACTGTAGCTCGAAACAAAACAAAGAAGAACTCCACCCCCCTCTTCAAAACCAAGTGGCTCCCACTGCACTCCGCGTGCGCCAGCCCCGGGCGCGCCACGCCCACGGCATGCCGGGCGGTCAAGCACTGTCCGGGAGTGCTCAGGCCGCTGAGGTCTTCGGGCAAGAGTCGCAGGTGCCGGTTCAGCGGGGAGGAGAGGGAGCTCACCTTCCGCAGGGGTCGGACGACAAGTTTCGCGAACATCAGGGACCCTCACCGTTTGACAAATGGGTGGCGGGTAGTGGGAATGAAGGTGAGTTGAAATGATAGATCACCCCGAGAGAAGAAAGAGAAGCCAGGAGCAAAAAAGCAAAGATGTGTAGCTTCATGCGGGTCTGGATCCTTGAAAGCTAGAGAGTTAGGTGATGTACTCGGCTTTTGAGCAGGGATTAAGGAGGGTCGAGGTTGTCCAGGATCAGAAATGCTGTTGGATGAGTTGTTGGATGAGGAAATTCCCAAAGACTTTACAATGCTTCAATGTCAGAACCGTGGCGCGCACATGATTTGAAAGTCTGGAGTCCAGACATGCAAAACCAAAACAAGCAAGCTCTCAAAAGCTCACGAAGTACGCCCCAGAGACAGCGTGAGACAACTGCAAAGCAAATGCCTGAACGAATCTAGATAAGTCACCCCTCCAAGAGGTCACCAATGGAGGCCTATTTGAGGGCCCAACGACCCTCCTAGAAGAGTTTTGGTGGATGCTGGTAGATAAGCCACCCACTTAAAACTCAGAACAAAAAGGCATCACCAACTTCCCAGCTCCATCAACCCCTCCCATCTCCGTCTCTCACCTGCGCCAAGATGTTAGCTGGACAAGCCAGGCTTGCAGTCACTGTCATATTGGGTCCTTGTCCTAAAGGCTCCAAGCAGTGTCTGTGCCTCAGAGTGGCGAAAGCTCGGCTCGGCCCATCACAAGGGACAGGGGACATAAGATCCAAGATTGGGAAGAGCTCGCTGGTGGGCATGTGTCTTTCTTGGTGAAACGGTTTTTGTCCTTCTGAGACAAGTCCATAATGCGCACACAGGATTCTGTCACCACCCCCTATTAATCAAGCCCAGCTCGAGCCCCCCCAATACTAAACTAATTTCAACCTGAATTCCACATGTCCATCACCCTAATTCGTTTTCCTTGGCAGAAACCTCCCCGTATTAATTAATCAAGCCCAGCTTTAAAAAGACTAGTTCACTAGTATATCATATTGTTTGAAGCTGCAATCTAAGCTGCAAATGTTCTCCCAAGCACGCTTTGCTCCACAATCCCTAAAAACCTCTCTAGCAAAACTCTATCAAGATCTTAGCGTTTTCAAGCTCACAAAGGGTACCCTTCACACAGGCCTCAGTGTTCACACAGAATCCTATCAACCATCCTCCATCATCAGGTCATCACCTTTATTCAGGGGATGGGGTCTCCAATACCTCCAATGTCAAACACTGTTAACCTTGTTGACCTTGAAGGGGGGAGGGGGGGCGTGTATGGAGCCCAGTGTTGGCATTAGATGTATGTCTTACATATGACTCCATATTATGAGGTCCATTCGGTGTATTCAAGTCATTGCTCCATCCTCACCGTGTCCATGCATCCAAAAGCCCATGGTCCGAGCGGCTTCGCTTGAGCACTGAGCTCCTTGATCATGCCCAGCTCCGTGTAGACGCTCAAGGCCATGCGATTGAAGTAGTAGAGCTCCTGGGGATTCCCCAGTGAAGGGACGCCCCATCCAGCCATCTCGGACGCGTGCATCGATCCCGGTCGGACCGGACCTCTCGACGCACGAAGTCATCCGGTCGCCACTGGAGCTCGTTGCCTTCGTTGGTTTGATGTGTGGTATGTTGTTGGTGGGATTTTGGGGAGCCTGTGGAACCAAATAGATCGAGGTCCCAAAAATGGATTTGCATGTCCTTACAAGAGATGCAACAACACAAATGAGCACACACGTTTTGTTGGACGTGGAGAACCTTCGTTTGGGAGGCCAATATATCTAGAACCTGACTGCCACAGTTGCGCCGCAGGTCCAGTGGGTACATTCCTTGACTCAAAACCCGCTCCTGTTCCCGGCGTAAATGATACGCGGCAAATCCATGCGCGGCGACTTGCACGCAGGAGTCGCAGGAGAAGTCTTGCAAGTTCTCCTGGTGGAGCTTGTCTTGGATCAAACCGTCTGAACCTGGGGTGCAAATACTCTAAATATCTATATCTATACCTCTATGTATATATATATATATAGAGAGAGAGAGAGAGACCTTACTCGCCCAGTCTGTCTTGGACCATGTGAGTTTTTCCACAAACAGTGTGGGCACACTGAGGGGTTCTTTCGCTGCTATTTACAATGCATTCATGCCTCTCGACATCGTCAATGTGCACTTCGACTGCGCACGCTCGTCAAATCTGCCTGCCGGCGGCGGGTGCTTTTAGCGACTGCGTTCTCGTTGTGGTGCCGTGTGCATTTTGGTACGTGGTGGTCACTTTTCGTGGCAGGTGCAAGGGAAACCTCGTGCTTTGGTGCTCCAAAGTCGACTTTTCGTGACAGGTGCAAGGGATCGGAGCTGTTTTATTTCGACATGGAGTTTTCGTGGCAGGTGCAGCACTTCGGACATGTTGGTCATCGTCGAGGAGCTCAGATTTCGTGACAGGTACAGTGAATCGTGACTTTTGGACATGTGGCTCGTTTGCAGATTTCGTGGCAGGCACAGCACTCTGTGACCCTCGATGTGTCAGATTTCGTGACAGCTACAGCACTTTGTGAACCTCGAAGTGCAGATTTCGTGGCAGGCGCAGCACTTGGTGGCAGGCGCAGCACTTGGTGAACCTTGACGTGCAGATTTCGTGGCAGGCGCAGCACTTGGTGAACCTCGAAGTGCAGATTTCGTGGCAGGCGCAGCACTTGGTGGACCTGGAAGTGCAGATTTCGTGGCAGCCACAGCACTTGGTGAACCTCGAAGTGCAGATTTCAAGGCAGGTGCAGCACTTGGTGAGCCTCGAAGTGCAGATTTCGTGCCAGGCATAGCACTTGGTGAACCTCGAAGTGCAGATTTCGTGGCAGGCACAGCACTTTGTGAACCTCGAAGTGCAGATTTCGTGGCAGGCACAGCGCATGGTGAACCTCGAAGTGCAGATTTCGTGGCAGGCACAGCGCTTGGTGAACCTCGAAGTCCAGATTTCGTGGCAGGCGCCGTACTTTGTGCTGTCAGATGCTCACTCTCTCACTCTCCCACTCTCACCCTCCCACTTTCTCTCACACTCACACTCGCACTCTTTCCCACTTGCAGACTCTCACTCGCTCTCACTCACACTCACTCACACTCACACGCACACTCACTCACCCACACTCACTCTCACACTCACTCTCACTCTCACTCACACTCGCACTCACTCACTCACTCACTCACTCACTCTCACCCAGACTCACTCGCACCCACCTTCACTCTCACTCACACTCACTCACTCACACTCACACTCACTCTCATTCACTCACTCTCACTCTCACTCTCACTCTCACTCTCACTCTCACACTCACTCACTCTCCCACACTCACTCTCGCACTCACCCACACTTGCACTCACACTCACCTTCAGTCCACTCACACTCACTCTCACTCACACTCACACTCACTCTCACTCAGACTCGCGCTCACTCACACTCACTCTCCCACTCTCAGTCGCACACACACTCTCACTCTCACCCACACTCACTAACACCCACCTTCACTCTCACTCACGCTCACTTACACTCACACTCACTCTCACTCTCACTCTCACCCACGCTCACTCTCACTCACACTCGCACTCACACTCACTCTCCCACTCTCACTCACACTCACACTCCCTCTCACCCACACTCACTCACACCCACCTTCACTTCATCACCACCATCACCTCTCTGGACCGCAATGCGTCTAGATCTCTAGACTTTCTGCTTACAGACCTCACACACACTGTTTGGGGTCTCTTGCCAGGATAATTTTTGCTGGAAGGCAACCGGCTAACATCTGCGCGTCTAGCGGGCCACCTGCAGGAGGAGATGGAACTATACTTAGGGATGTACGAACACTTGGCGAGTTCATCCGCAGATTGGAGGCACAAAATCCCAGACACTTCATGATAAACATGCGCTTTCTCCAAACCCAAAGGACCTTGAAACCGATCTGCTGTCCTTGGAGAGGCTGTTGTACCACCTGCCACTGATGCACTGCAACCGCTCGCTGGCCACCACCGCGGTAGCACCTGAAAGGCTCGCGCCGCGCGAGGTGAGTCGATAGCGCTCAGTCCAGCAGGAGGCCATGAGAACCTCGGAGTGGTCGACGATCGAACGAAATGTGGCGACCAGGGGCCAGTGGAGCGACCAGTGACGGCCAGCGGCGAGCACTCAGTGCCGAGCAGCCTGTTACCAGTGAGTGATTTTGACTGTTATGAATCCTTCAGTTGAAGAGGCACAATGACAAGGAGTAAACTACGCTGTTGATGCACAAATCCCCTTAACTAGCTGCCCTATCAGAATGGCTTTACATGTCCAGTCCAGAGGGCGAATCTTGCTTCTCTGCGCTGCTTCGAACTCGCCTTTTCTCCAAGCAACGGAGCCATGGCCTAAGGCGCCCGGTAGAGGCCGCTTGTGCCTGGGCGGCGGAAGGAAAGAAACACTCAGCCCAGGTCATTCGACGATGCTCGAAGGTCTCAAGATCAGCTGGTGGGGTGGAGGTAGTGAGGCCAAACCCTTCAAAGACTTTCAGGTGGCCTCGTCTTAGAACTCCACACCCACACAGGGCCTTTTTTTGTGTCAGAAAGTGAGAAGGAGAACGGAGAATGGCCAGAATCCCATGTTTTGCATGATGTTTCATGCCCACGCTCCCACCCTTGTTCACCTCCTGCCAGACAGTGCTGTCCCGGCCTCCACTCATGGGAGTCTGGGGCGCGGTATTCCGGGCGGCCACAGTGTTCCACACCCATGCCGCCCAGCAAGAGGATGGTATCACACCTCGCGTCGCTCGCGTCTCGAACCCTCAACGAATCCAAACAACACGGAGCGGCCACGACACAGCCCGGATCGAGGGACTGGGGAGTGGGTTGGCCCGGTTTTGGTGGGCGAAGAAAGCAGTGCATGTTTGGATGTTGTCGAAGAAGACCAGGTGTGCAAGCTGCAAAGGATGCAATCTGTGTTGCAAACTCCCTGGAATAGCAAAAATGTCGAGGGTTTGATTCATCAAGGGATCTACATTAGGCAAACCTTTCCTCGTTTTCTTCCCTCCCTGCAATGAGTAGACATCACACGTGACAAGGCCCCGAAAAAAACGCGCAAAGATCCCAATCACCACTGGTTCTTCACCATCGAATGACTGTCGACCATTTGCTGCGGAAGGACTCGCATGCAGAAGGACTCCCTTCAGCCAAGGAACTGCTGGTAGAGGTGTATGAAGGTGAATCCGGCCTCAGGAACCCTTTGTGGCCAAACATCCGAGAACATCGAATCAAATTCCGCCTCAAACCCAAACAAATTGCCCGCCTATTCGAGTCTTCTACCTCTGACACCGAGCCACCTCTACCGCTGGTAAAGCCTGTGCCATACTCTTCACGGCCGAGTCCAGCTGCAGGGCGGAGTAGGGACGTTTCACCGGTGCGATGGCCAAGCTTGAGAAGTGCACGTGCACATTCACCTGGGTGAACTCGAAGACAATCTCCTCGGGCGGTTGGACGTGGGACGGACGTCGATCTCCCGTGGGCGCGGCCCAGCGAAAACGCATGGGCAAAAGCTCAGAGGGTGGCGAGATTGGCCAAGGATCTTCAAGGCTTATCAATGGTCGTTGTTGTTGGTGGAAACAAAAGCAGCCGCGCCACATGTTGTTGCTCTGTGACTTCAAGGGGGCACGGTTCGGAGATGGTTGAAGGTTTGAGGGTTTGACTGGCTTCGTAAAGAGCTGGACTAGTTGGACTTGTTTTACCGAAGTCCGGGTTGGTCCGTTCTTGGTAATTCTGAGGTGTTGTTGTGGGGGTGGGGACCAAAAACAACGGGGCTGCCGTCGTTGTTTTTGAGGGGGGTAGAGAGAACAAAGCCTTTTGAGGAGGTGGTGATGTTTGTAGTTTCCCTGATTCCCCAGGTCCCTATCCACTCAATGTATATATATCAGCTTAGTAGATTAACATGTAGTTGATTCGCACGTAATGGTACGACGACGACGACGACGACGACGACGACGACCACCACCACCACCACGACGACGACGAGGAGGAGGAGGAGGACGACGACGACTACCACCACTTGTTATTATTGTTATTATCCCCATTGTTAGGACGTAGTAGCACTACTAATGCCGCCGCCGCCGTCGCCAGGAAAAGGAACACTGATTGCGGCCAAATCAGAACTTCCTCGCCTCACGCTTCCTTCCCAAAGAGTTTGCACATGATTGATCAAAGCATCTCCACGGGGGTTGGCCAACGTCACTCCGTTGAAGCGCGGGTGTGGGAAAGCATCCTGCATCCTCGGACGCAAAAGGCGACTGACCTCACCAGCACTTTTTGACAGGGTGTGTATGTTCGGGATCTCCCCACCATCGCCTCTGGCTCAGTCCACGATGGTCCCGGGTCGTTGGTCGGGTTCCAGCACCGAAAGACTGGTCGAGGTCGCGACTCCTGAAGGACTGGGGCGACCGACTCACCTTCACACGGAGATCAAACCAAGCCTGAAGGATTGGAAAAATGATGAAAAATGGACGTTAGACCATGTTCCAAACACCTTGGAAGTTTCGAAGGCGAACAGAAGGGCAAAGAGTGCCATGCTTTTCAGCCATGGAACCCCTTCGTCGAGTGATGGACTCTCAAACCTGCCCTGCAGGCCGGTGAGGCATGGTGAGGCCAGGCCAGTCCCTGCTTGGACAAAGCGTGTTTGAACCAACTCCTGTTGGATGTTTTTACATGTTCACTAGCTCCGTCCGAGCCGCAAACCAACGTTTCAGTCCCTGGCCAAGCTGGCCCAAACCTCTTGGTCCAGTCCGGTCCAGTCGCGTTGAAGGTCCAAAGCATCCTTCTAAGTGTGCGTTGTACCCACGCGAGTCGTAGCTGGGCACTTGGCATGAGATTCATTTTCTACACATCTTCTGCCAAGTGCCCAGCGTCCGACTCTGTAGACAGAGTAGACAGAGTGACTTGGTATAGTTCATTTCTGCTACCTTTCTTCAAGAACTCCGACTCCGTAGACAGTCGAGATGCCGACTCCACGCATGGACCCCTTTCTTGGGACCCCTTTCTTTCCCGGTCGGCTGGGTAGACGCACCCAGGAGGTCGTTGCCTGGGGAGACCTTGCACATCCATTGGAGGATGCCTCCGCTGGATTCCTGGATCGGTCTTTCTATGTTCTGGAGTTGCACCATGCTGCACCCCGCGGTGCGAGAAAACCCCAAAACTCGGCTCACCACCAGCCACCACCAGCTCATCTCCACTGTCTAAAGCACTACTCCAAGCGTCATCGGACGGACGAAGCGAAGAAAAGACTTGAGAGAGGAGGGGGTGAATGGAAGGTAGCAGGCAATCACAAGTAACCAGGTAGCCTAAGGAGAACTCAGGTAGCCTGAGGCTACCTTTCGTGACTGGTGTTTCCCCTTGGCGTTCGCTGTCGTACTCGACACCGCCAATGCGAGCTCTCGAGCTGTATCGTTCCACCCAGCTGCATCGTGGCCTCCCGGCCATGGTTCACCGAGACATAGTTCACATAGTTGAAATGTCCGGAAGTATCGCGTGCAAAGACCTCAGAAACAAATGACATATTAACGACAATAACAGTAATAGTATGTTACTGCAATAGTATGTAATAGTAAAAATAGTAATATTGATATAACAACAGGCAACAACACATGTTAAAAGAGAACATTCTGCACCCATCTCTTCGGCCATCTGGTTCCGAGCCATGCAACGACGTAGAGATACTGCGCGCCGGGCACCAAGCCCTTCACCGTGCATGTGGCCTGTGAGAGGCGACGGCAACTCGACTCACTCGTTTCTGGGCGACGAGGCGACGTGACGAGTAAGGAGTGAAGTGAGCACGTGGACCGAAAAAATAAAAGTTGCTGGAGTCCTGGAGGCCATCGCTAGTAGGTTGGAGGCCATCACTAGTAGGTTGGAG